GATAGATGATAGATAGATAGATAGATAGATAGATAGATAGATAGATAGATAATATAACTTCCTTTCTCACTAAGCACTAAGCCTTGCACTTGGGGCTGTGTCCTAACCATGGAAAAAGTAGCAAAACTCAGTCACAGGGCCAGGGATAATTAAGACACCATCCAGGCCCTCTCACAACTGACCAGGAGACTGTCTGACCAGGAGTCCACTCAATCACACCCTTAAGAGGGTTTGTCTGTTCAACAAGTTCTTAGCACTCATGGCTGTCCTCAGTCTCTGCTTCTTATGACTTTAGGCTGGCCCCTTGGCCCCAAACCCACGACAGTGTTTCCCCATGCTTTACAGCTACACAAAGATGGGAGGACAAAGCACAGGCTCCGTCTGTCACCTCCAAGGCAGGCCATCCAGGTGCATGCCTGGATCAGGAAAAGATCCTGAAAAGCTCTAGCCTTTTACCACGGTTTTCTTTCTATGCTCCCAGCACCCAAAGGGCTCCAAAATACATCCGTGCATCACTTCTTTATGCTTTAAACCCTCAGTTGTCAATTTTTATGGTTTCTGAGCAGCTCTATCCTTGCAGATAGGACAAAGCATTTCAGCAATATGTGAGATGACCCTCCAGCTGCACCTGGTCACCTGTCTCAGAGGTGACAGGAGCCTGTGCTCTGTCCTCCCAACTTTGTGTGGCTGTGAAACATGGGAAACACTACACTGCAGGGACCATCTTGTCTGCCGTCCATATAAGGTCTGCAGAATCATTTGGTCTGGCACTGCCAAGGCATTAGGGGTGAATTAATTAAATGTTTGACCAAATATAGCAGGCTAATATTTAAGTTGATAATTCTGAATGGCCCTCAAAGGATGTTATAAATATCCAAATAGCCCTTGGCAGAAAAAAAGTTTCCCCACCTCTGCTCTAGTGGTTAGGAAGATCCCAGCAGACTTCATTCCTCCTCATTTTTCTTCATCTTCCAGATACACCAGGAGTCTCCAACTCTGAGTCTCATTCTCTACAGGTGTAAATTTGAAATAATGATCCTCATGTGTCTGCATCAAATGACCAATTGCAAAGTGCATCTAAAAACTGCAAGTTTTAAATATTACATATAAGATAGACTCTTTAGACAAAGCCCTTTTAAAAGACAGCTGGGAAGTTGCCTTGTTACCATTAGGAACTGTAATTCATCCCTGGTTAAATAATGCAGTAGATAAAACATTTGTACTGCCGAAACCGGTTTGGCTCAATGGATAGAGCGTCAACTTGGGGACAGAAGGGACCTGGGTTTGATTCCGGTCAAGGGCATGTACCTTGGTTGCGGGCATATCCCCAGTGGGGGGTGTGCAAGAGGCAGCTGATTGATGACTGTCTCTCATCGATGTTTCTAGCTCTCTCTCTCTCTCCCTTCCTCTCTGTACAAAAACAATAAAATATATTTAAAAAAAACATTTGTACTTATCAGAGCACCTCTCAGAAAAAAATAGTATTATATGTAGTTTCATGGCCTATTTAGAAGAGGGAAAGTAAGCTACAGTGACCACGAATGGTCACTTTCTTATTCTAAGAAGGGGGAGGTTGTTTTCTACAGAATTTCTCTTTACTGAGTGAGGTAAGTGAAGGTCTGTGCTCTGGGAAATCAGGGAGCCATCGGGTGCTGCTCATGTAGGCAGGACCTCCTTCCCACCTTCCTGAGACTATATTAGTTTTCTTTCCTAATACAGGACATATCTATATGTGTACGTGTTTATGTATATGTATATCTATACTAGTATCTATACTAATATCTACTAGTACCTATATCTATATCTATATCTAATCCATATCTATCTATCTCTATTTCTATCTAATCTATATCTATCACCACTGTATATGCTTTAAAAACCACTAAATAATTAGTCTCCTCAGATTGTCCTCATGTGTCTAATAGCCTCACTTCCAGATATACTTATCAATGGAAAATGGAGATTGTATAAAAAGAGTAAATGGCAGCAGCCTGATTATTATCCAATGAGATAGGCTAAATATCTTTCCAGATATACTATGAAATAGGTCTTTAAATTGATATTAAGGGACAACAATAAACCCAATATGTTGTTTTCTGGGTTCCAGTAAGGTACAATGGCATACACATTGTCTTGTTGAATTTATGAGGTGTTGTACTGCTTTAAAAGGCTGGGATGGGAGGGGTTGAGTTAGCATGTTATATACTTGAGCACAGGATCTTCAACAATGATATTGTATACTATTCTTTTTGTCTTGCTAATTTCCACCAACCAGAGGTTTACGGTTTCCTATCCAGGCCCTTCAAGAGAGAAGTTTATAGGTGATATGGAATTGAATAAATTCCTGCTCCCCCTCACCCACAATGTTAGCCTGCTGCTTCTATAGCTCTTCACAATATCTGCAAAAGCGTGGATAATTGTTTGTTTGCATTCAGTAATTTTTTACACATGTTAATGGGATTTTTCCAGCAGTCTGAGCTTCATCATGAGATTTGATTTGCATTCTCCCCAACCCCAGACCCCATTATAAAGAGCTCATGAAATGCTCGCCACACCCCTCTATTTTCTTAGGCCTCCAATCATAGCTTGAGCATGCTATGTTCATGCTTCTGGACTCTCCAACAGGTGGATAATTGTGTTGTGTTGTGTGATGTCATGACTTTCCCAACATATTTATGCAATTATGCCCCAACAACTTTATAATTGGCAAAGTTTACACTCAAAAATGATCCAAAGAATTGTGTCATCTCTAGGAGCAATAACACTCAGTACATTACAGTTACGTTTTCCATTCTGAACCTCCATATCAAATGTGCAGAACATTTATGTAAACATTCTCTCTTTCAATCCGCAAAACCAAATGTAAACTTTTATTTAATTTGAGAAGGATGTGGGGCCAATTATAAACCTAGTGTGTTGTTTAGTCGACCCAATGGTTATGCTATCTGTGTTAGAGCCACTAGATTCAATTATAGCAACTCCTGTTAAGCATTCTTTTTAACATTCTCCTGCTTCTTGGTACACTGAGCTTCTGAGTTGTGTGAGGTCTCACACATATACTCTGCCTTCATTTTAAATCCCAACCCAATTTATGACTCATCACTTCAAGTGGAAGAATTAAAAATGACATCTGCTGCAGCACTGAATAAGTTTTCCTCATGACTCAGCCCTTAAATTGTCTCTGGCATTAAGAATCACTCAAATGTGGTTGCACTAAGTTATTTTATGTAAATACAATATATTTTTATTTGAAACTAACAGAAATTATAATCTGAAAGATAGAGCATTTTCCCACCTTCATAGAGTCGGTCTATAGAATTAACCACCCCAGTTTCAGTAAGCAGTTTCCATGAGGACCATAGTATCTAAAATCAATTGGAACAATCTCATTAAGCTGAATGCTGCAGCTCTTAATAGTAAGAGTTATTTCATCCTGGCATGTATGGCTTAATGGTAAAGAGTTGGCCCACACACTGCAGAGTATAGGGTTTGATTCCTGAGTTGCAAGTTCTTGCAAGTTTATTTTCTGGTCCTTTGTTGGGGAATGGAGGAGGCAACCAATACAAGTGTCTCTCTTCCATTGATGTTTCTCTCTTGGACCTTCTGCTCTCTCTAAAAATCAATAGAAAAAATATCCTTGGGTAAAGATTAACAACAACTACAAAAATTCATTCCTATTTAATTCTTTCACTATATATTTAGTAAGTGTTTATTGAGTTAATATAGTCTACTGGGGAGAAAAGTAAGAATGCACATCTGGATATCTGAGCTCTGGTCCTAAATAATAATAGCAAATTCTGTGAACTTAGTCAACCAGTTAACTTCTCTGGATCCATTTTGTCATTTATAAAAAGACAAGTTGTATCTAACAGGGTAGGTGTGAATTTCAGCTATGACATGCACTGACTACCAAGGGGCAGATGCTCAACACAGGAACTGCCCCCTGGTGGTCCATGTGATCCCACAGCGATAGCTCAGCTCAGCTGACTCATGGGCATCAGCTGCTGGGCTCATGGTTGGCGCGCACAGCTGCTGTGGCACAAGCCTCTCCTGCCTCCTTGGCAATGCTACAGAGCAGCAGCAGACATAATGGGGCCAAGATGAGTGGGAGCGGCACAGCACCCACAACACCTGGCCCAGGCTTGGGCTCCTCCCTGGCTTCCTGCAGCTTCATGCATTAATACCCTCCCCCGACCCCTGAGGGGTCTCGGATTGTGAGATGACACAGACCAGGCAGAGGGATCCCAACAGTGCACAAATCCGTGCACCAGGCCTCTAGTATTTTTTGTGAAACTGTATGTGGGAGACAGGCCACCACTCTGACCCCATTCGAGCAGTCCTATATCCCCTCAGTGTGTGTGTGTGTGTGTGTGTGTGTGTGTGTAAGGGGGGTTCACATAGATAGGGCCTGAGCAGGAACAGACCAAGGAGGCATCAGAAGCCTGGTGGACCAGTCATGTTCACACCCCAGGTCAAGACTGGTTGGGTGGATGTGGAGTGTGGTGGTGCCCACTGCCCGAACAAAGTCTATCCTAAGCGCTGGAGGTGACTCTCATTTCTGCTGAGTAGAGGTCTGTGCAGACACAGGGCTGAGCCTAATCTGGGAGCAGAATGTCCAGTGGGAAGAAGCAGCAACAACTAGGGCTAGGCGGGGCTTGAGGCCTCTGGATTAGCTGTCAGTCACTGTCATTGCAGAGCTCAACCCGGGTGATGGAGGAGCAGCAGCTGGTCCATGAAGATCCCAGCCCCACCTTCACCATTGAGGGGCAAGTGGGCCATACAACTGAGGGCCAGAGCAGGCCCAAAGTGCATATGGCCAGCTGGGGTCTAGGGAGCCAGGGCCCTTTAGTGGCCAAAGATGGAGTCCTCCTCAGAAGCCCATCAGGTTCCGCAGACCTCCATCCTGGAAGCTGCTCAATCAGCAAAGGCGGATCTCACTTTGCAACTCCTTCCTGGAGTCTCCGAGGTTCCGCAAGAGGATCCCAATGTGTGATGCCTACATGCAGCACCAGGCCCGTGTGAATCACACTGGGCCAGGGGACCTGCAGCCCCAGGAGGCTAAGGGTGAGGAGGTGGGGGAGGTGTGGGTGGAATGAGGGGTGGAGGTGCATGGGAGCTTATGGAAGAATCAGTACAAAACATCTCCAGATGCTGGCCAGGTGCTCCAGATCTCCCACCTGCTGGACAGCCATCAGGAAGGATGTCCATTGGTGGGACCTGCTCTGGGCTTCTCTAAAGGCTCTGGCTTCTGTTATATCCTTGGGGGGACATGGAAATGCAGGCACGTGGGTGATCTTTTCTCCTCTCACAACCCCAGCACTGGCCCAGGAGGCAGAGGAGGCTCCTGTGGTGATATCATATGTACATCCAGAGGAGTCTGAAACAGAGGTCCTGCCACCTCCATCAGCCTCTCTGGTGGCAGCTGTGGAGCTGGGGCTGGCCTGGGAGGCACCTGCAGACATGACCGAGGCCCGGCCCCCCACCTCCTCTGGATGAGGAGCCCTCCCTGGAACCTGCCCTGGGTCCTGCCTCAGAGGAGGAGCTGCCTCCTTAAAACCTAGCAGGGCCAGCTCCAGAGCCGCTGCCTTCACCATCTCCCCTCAGATAAACTGGTGCTACCTTTTCCTCCTTTCTGCTCCCTCCCCACTTCGTTGACCTTTTCCTCCTCTTTTTGTTTTACTTTTCTTCATGGAGTGATTCCATTGTTTATTTTGTAATTTTTATTATTCAGGGTATTTGGGGGTCTTACCCCCCCCATTCTTCTTTTATGCTTTATTTCTCCCTGGGGTGATACAATTTATTAAATAAATAAATAAATAAATAAAATTATTGTGTGTGTTTTTTTTTTAAATGGTGTCATTCCTGAGAATGAAGGACATTCATGAAGCCAGGCAACCATCACCACTGTCTAGTTGTAGGATGTTCCCATCACTCCAAAATGAAACCCTGCACCAACAGTACTCACTCCCCACTCCTCCTGCTCCTGCAACCTCTGGCCTGCTTTCTGTCTCTGTTCCTTATAAATGAAATCTTAAAATAGGTATCTTTTTGTATCTGCTCACATATTTTTGTTTGTGTTTTTATAAAATGACATTTTTGTCATTTGAAAGGAAAATTGAAGATGGATTAGAGATGCAATGTAAAAAAGAAAGAAGCTCTGTTAGTAAATGTGTGCATAATCTCGAGGTAGAGACCCCTGTGCTAAGTGTGATCCCAGAGCCAAAAGCCAGTCAGGCAATGAGTAGCTCTTCCTGTGTCCAAAATAGAAATGAGGAAAAGTGCCCAGAAATTAACCCATGCTTTTATGATCAATAAGCATTTGACAAAAGAACCAAGAACATACAATGGGGTAAAGACAGTCTATTAAACAAATGTAATATTGGACAGACAGGTAAAAGAAACCAAACCCCCTTCTTACGCCATATACAGAATACTCAAAATTGATTAAAGACTTAAATATGAGACTTGAAACATAAAAATCATAGAAGAATACATAGGCAAAATATCTTAGACATCCCCATAGCAATATTTTTCCTGTTATATCTCCTCAGGCAAGGGAAACAAACAATCATAATAAACAAATGAGACTAGATTAAACTAAAAAAGTTTTTACATGCAAAGAAAACCATCAGTGAAATGAAACATATTTGCCAATGTTATATCTGATAAGGGGTTAATATCCCAAATTTATAAATAACTCATACAACTCAACATCAAATAAACAAATAATCCAATGGGCAGAGAATCTGAATAGACATATCTCCAAAGACATACAGATGGTCCCTAGACATATAAGAAGGCGCTCAATCAGCCAAAGGACTTGTATACATGCATATAAATACAACCAATGGACACAAAACTCTGGGGAGGGAGGGTATGTATGGAGGAGGGGGGCAATGTTAAAATATGTACACAGATAATAATTAAAAAAATAAAAAAATATAAAAGAAGGCACTCAGAAAAATGCAAATTAAATCCTCAATATCACCTCACAACTGTCAGAATGGCTATCATCAAAAAACCAACAAGTGCTGGAGAGGATGTGGAACAAAGAAAACACTAGTTTCCTTTGGTGGGAATCCAGATTGGTGCAGCCACTGTGGAAAGCAGTATGGGATTTCCTCAAAAATTACAAATGAAACTGCCTTATGACCCAGTAATTCCACTATTGGGAATATATCCAATGAAACCCAAAACACTGATTCAAAAGAATATGTGCACTCCTAAGTTCACTGTAGTGTTATTTACAACTAGAGGCCCGGTGCACAAAATTCATGCATGGGGGCGATGGGGTGTCCCTCAGCCTTGCCCATGCCCTCTCACAATTTGGGAACCCTCGGGTAGGGCCCCTAAACCTGGTGGGTGACGGGGGCTTATCCGGGCTTTGCTTCTCCTTGCTGCTGACAGCTGGCCCTGCCCCTACCACTGCCACTGCTTGCCATCTGTGCGATGCTGTACCCCCTTCACTGGTTGCCTCCCTCCGTAGGCAACAGGAGTGGGGTGCGATTGCTTGGCTGGCCTCGGCCTCACTCTGCAGGCAATCACTGGCTGGCCCTGCACACCCACCACAGTGTCATTGGCTAGTGGCCTGGGACTCCCTCTTTGGGGCAATCGATTGCGGAGCCCCCTATCAATCGCCCTGCAGAAGGTGGTCTGGGCCTCCCTCTGTGGGGTGATCATGGGGCAACCAATTGCATCGCACCCACCTTAGCTGGCCTGGTGCCAGTGCCTGGCATAGCGTTGTTATCCGGACTGTCATTCTGCTGTTCAGTCATTCAATCGATTTGCATATTACACTTTTATTATTATAGATAGCCAAGATTTGGGAGCAGCCAAGTGTCTATCAGTCGATGAGTGGATAAAAAGGGCATGGTACATTTACACAGTGGAATAGTACTCAGCAATAAAAAAGAAGGAAATCTCACATTTTGTGACAGCACGGAAAGACTTGGGGAGTATTCTGCTAAGTGAAATCAGCCAGTCAGAGAAAGACAAAAACTATAATATATGATGTCATTTATGTGTGATATCTAAAGAACAAATAAACAAAATAGAAACAGACTCATAGCTAGGGAACAGACTCACAGCTGTCAAGAGGGGAGAAGAATTGGAGGATGGGCAAAAAAGGTGAAGGGATTAAGCAAAAAATACCCCACAACACCTCATATTAAAAAGCAGAAACAGCTTCCCTGCACTTGAGTACACAAGACTTCTCAGATTTCGCAGGATGCCCTTCAGTAGTGTCACCATCTTCTGAAATGCACCCCCTTTCATCCCTGTCTATCTTGCCAGTGGGTGTACCAGACAATGCTGTCACCTGGGAGGGACTGCCTGGTTCGTGTATTCATCTGTAATCCCATTTCTGTGGCAATGGTGCACAGGTAAATTTCTTCTTGAGCTCCAGGGATACACATGCTGGGATGAGAGAACTAAAAATAAATATTTATAAAATGGGTTCCTATTGCACCTTCTTGATGAGGTGTCCTCTCCGTTTATCAGTTGCATATTAAAACTAAAAACAGAAAACAGCCAATGATATAAGCCTAGAAAGTAAGCTAGGCCCTACCTTTCGTCAAATTACAATTAAAATATTTTTTTTAAATACCAAGGGTATGAAAATTTTTATTTCTCTTTGTGTCAGAGACCTCTAGCTGTACATCAAAATTCCTTTATTTTCTTTGAGCATATAGCCAGATTATATTTTCCAACATCCTTCTGTTAGGTATGGTCATAGGTCTAAGAGATCTCTAAGAGAACGTAAACAGAGGTGACTTCAGGTCTGACCAAAAAAAAAAAATCTCTTGTTTGATTCTCTAGCCTCTTTCCCTCCCAGTTGACTGGAATATTGATCTCCAGGTGGATGACCAGCCATCCTAATATCAGAACTTTTCCATCTTTATCATTAAAATTCTTACTTCTCAGGAAACCCTTCATTCATTTCCTGGCAAACCAAGATGGTCACTCCACCTCAGGGTGACCTTGAAAACTATATTTTGAAGAGGACAAAGCCATCATCAATTTTGGCCTCCAAATGACCCATGGAGGACAGCTACCCTGCTAACCTACATAATAGGACTGTTACTTGAACAAGGAGGAAACCAACTTTCATTTTATTGTTCCATCATATGTTTTGATCTTTTTGTTTACCTAGAAAGTGGCCTACATGAATAATTTTGAAAAGGAGGAAACAGAACTGTATCTAAGTAAAATCATAGGAAATAAATTATAGGAAAACATAAATAAACATAAATAATGAAAGGAAAGAAAGAAGAGAGAGAGACAGAAATGGAAGATGGAGATGGTGGAGAAGGACAAAGGAAAGAAGAAAAGAAGGAAGGAGGGTAGGAAAGAAGTAATTTTAAAAAGCTGATTTAGAGTTATTCAAATAATCCTTTTCATTAGAAAAATCAGGTACTAAGAACTGACATCATACTCCCCAGTACTGAGTAGAGCCTAGTTGCCTTGCTGTTTACACACACTTAAGAGAATGCCATGGCCAAAAGCAGAGCTATATATCTCTTCACAAGCTATTAATAATCAGTCAAGTTTAGTGGAGAAAGTACCATTTGCATTATCCTTGTTGCAAACTGACAGCCTACAAGAATGTGTCATTTACTTGCACAATATTTTTGAAACATATAACTTTGAAAAACTTTAATCTAGGTTAGGCATTTTATTTTTACGTCACAGCAAACCCCTCCTCAACATTCCCCCCACACACATTTCCTATTAATTATATTTCCAAAACCACATAATTTTTCCAAACATACATCTTAAAGCAAGAGCTGTCACACCTTTTATTTGACTACAGAACCCTTTTTTTCAATGAAATCTTTCTCAATTATTATATAAGCAGATGAAAGAGTTGCTGCTATTTGAAGTGGGAGTGCAACCTCAAGAGTCAGGTGCTATTCTCATCCCCTTGGTCCCTGAGATCCATCATCAGAATCCTCAGGCTCCTCAGAATACAGTGTGAAAATCCTTGGTCTGGATTACATCATCCTCCATCCAAAAAAGTTCCACAACTTTTTGGTACTTGTTCAAAAGATCCAAACATCATACCTTGGCATTTTAAATGTCTCCAAGATTTAGTCTAAAGACACTGTAGCTTTATTAAATAACCTACTCTCTAGCCAAATGGGATTACTTCTTATTCTCTACTCATGCCCAGCTTCATATCTCCAACTTCAAACCTTTTCTCCAGAATGCTCTTAGATAGATATTCTGTTCACTCTCACCTACTGATATTATGCCTAACCTAATTGCCATCTCCTCCCAGAAGGCTCACTTATCTTTCTAGCTGTGACTACTCTTTGTTTTTCCTCTGTCACTCTATCGAAGCTTTCATGGGACTTGCACACTTTACTGAGTATCATGGTTACTTATGAAAGTCATACTATCTTATCTCCTTGGCAAGATAGAAAGCACTTTGAAGAACAATGGTAGAGATGAACAACTATCCATTGAAAGCTAGTCTTCACTTTCCTGGAAAAAAA